CCCGGAGGAGGCACTCCACCTCCTCTGGGAGCCACAGCACGCCCCTAGTTGGGAAGGCCATGGCTCCGAATGCTGCTTTGAGGCCTCCGTTAACTGCGCATGTGCCGTTCGACGTTAGGTCGCCTTTCGCAGGAGCGCAAGGCGACGCTTGCGCATGCGCGTTGGAGCGCTACTTCGAATACCTCCGTACGCGGCCACGGGCACAGGGGGTGGGCTGGACGGGTCGCTCAGCTCCCGTCGGAGTAGCTACGGGGACGGCGCGGGGACTGGCGCTCCAGGGCTTAGGGGACGAGTGGGTTAGGGGGCGGCAGGACTCGAGGGCCTGGACACTGGAAAGGGGAAGGTGGGAGCTGGCTGACACCGGTGTGTTGCGGGCCCTCCGTCGTGTTCCGTTGGCCGGCGCTCCTACTGTGCCACCGGCTGCAAAGTCTGGGCGCTGCAAGCCGGTGCCGGCGTGCATTGTTTGGGGGGCCTTTGTCTCCCTAGGGTCTCCTGGCTCTCCTCCACAGCCATGTCTTCAGGGCCTCGCGCACCCGCTCGCCTGCGGCGTCTGCTGTCTGCGGGTCCGGTTCAAGGGGGGCCAACTCTGCTTCTGCAAGTGCCCGGAGTTCCTGTTCGGTACACACTTCTGGCACTGAATGGCCGCGGTCCTCACACAAATTGTGCAGGATGCAACAGGCTGCGACGACTGGACTGACATTCCTCAGCTCCACCGGCAACTCTAGTAGCAGGCACCGCCACCGTGCCTTCAGGCGGCCGAAGGCACGCTCAACCACATTCCTCACACGACCCTGCACCTTGTTGAAGTGTGCCTGCTGTGCATTGAGGTGGCCTTTGTAGGGAGGGATGAGCCAGCGTCGCAGGGGGTATGCTGCATCCGCCACTATGAGTGGTGGCACCGGGACCCCCTCGAATGTGCGGGTGGGGTTACCAGGCACATAGACTCCCGCTTCCATTCTGGCCATGATGTTTGACCGCATAAGGACGTGTGCATCATGACTTTGGCCGCTTTGGCCGACCACAATGTCCACGAACCGACCAACATTGTCCACGGTGCCCTGCAGGAGTACTGAGGTGTAGTTCTTGCGGTTCATGTAGAGGTGGGCCAGGGGGACAGGTACTCGCACACGGATGTGGCAACCGTCCATTGCGCCAACGCACTGTGGAAAGCCCTTGGCGGCGAAGGCCCTCATTACCTATGATGGACGGACAGAGGGTTACTGCTGCTGCACCCACTTTGGACCCGGGGGGGGCCCACTGCAAGGGATGCCGCCTCCCCTGGTGCTATACCTGTGTCTCCCTGCCCCCCACCCCTGCCCTCAGGGCTGCCCTCCCTCTCCCTGTCCCCCTCCCCATTCCCTCCTGTCCGTACCCTATCTGGGTTCCGAAGGGCCACCAGTCTGTGGTGGAGTTGCTCTGAGATTGCCCGTGTCACCTCCATCGCGATGCCAGCAACGGTGGACCGTGCGAGACCGAACAGCTGGCCAATGGTTCTGTAGGACATGATGTTGGCCATCCACCACACACCAACCGCGACACGTTCCTCCACTGACACGGGTTCACGCATCACCGTGCACTGTCGCTGCAGTGTGTCCCGGAGGACATCCACCAGCCACATGAATGTGGACCTGCAATTAGATGGTGACATGGTACTGGCTTTCTCCGGGTCCGGCTGTAAGGGGGCCCAATGCCATGGCCATGTCACAGCAACGCCCCTATCCCTCCCTGCTGCTGATGGTGGCCACGGTCTCGCTTGTGGCCCCCTTGCCATGGACGGCCGCCTGGCCCCGGCACATGCCCGCAACATGTTACCTGGACATCCTGAAGTTCTCCAGCCACTGCTCGTCTCCCCAGACGTGGGTGACGAAGGTTGCCCACCATTCCTTGGCTCGTGGGTACTCCCACCAGCGGCGGCTGGGTTGCTCCACGGAGAGACGAATGAGCTGGTGTGTATGTCTTCCTCTGCGGCTCTTCCGCCGCCTACTGCTCCGTTCTCCGCTACCTAGCTGTGTGGTGGCCATGGCCATCCTCCGTCTCCTGCCTGCACCCATGTACCCCGTCCCCTGGAGGCAAGCTTGCTGGATCTGGAGGGCCGCTGTGGCCACTGTCACACAGATGGTTAGGGTGGCTGTGCTGTGGTGTCCCCCTCCCCCTCCATTGTCTGTCCGTCGGACCTTTCTTGGGGTCTGGTGACGTCCGTGGCACTCTCCGTTCCACCCAGCTCCTGCCTTCCGCATTCCCATGACGGGCTGTCAGTTTCCGTTCGCGCGCAATTGCGGGGCCGCGCATGTTTGCCTTCTCGCTCTTGCGCATGCGCGACATACATTTTTAAAAAATTATTCCCGTTTGCCACGGGAGCGGCGTCTGGCGATTGCTGGTGTGATCGCCTGCCGCCGCTTCCATGCCGCGCTGCAGGCTCGTCGTGTGATCGGCACCTCCCCCCTTGCCACGGTATCTTGACGGGACCTCGCCGGAGCGTCTGCTCGTGCTACCGTGAGTTTCTTCGCCCCGGGGCTAACAGCCGCGCTCCCCCCCCCGCATTTTCCTAGCCATGTGACCGCAGCCAATGATAATAATAATCCCCAGCATAGCGTTGGCCTTTTTCATTGCAGTTGCACACTGTCTCGACATTTTCATTGAGTTATCTACTACGACTCCAAGATCTCTCTCTTGGTCAGTCTCTGCGATGCCAGTGCCCACTCCCTGAGTGCCTCTAGGGATTGCTGCTGGTAGCCCGGCAACCCTAATAGGTTGGTTGGCGGGTGGGAGGGAAAGAAGGAAGCAGGCCTGGTGCTCTGCTCAGCAGAGCGCAGCAGTGATGAGAAGGTGGCAGCACCTGATGTCGCTGTGGGACGCAGCAGGGCAAGCATTGGTGATGGAGGCAGCATGGAGACCACCTCCCAAGACACTGAGGAACGGGGGAATGTCCTAGCATCTGAGAGGATGCCCTATGGCCTGTTGGGGGGAGTGGCAGGGCAAGAGAAGGAGAGCCTTGCCTGAAGCCCAGCCCTTTAAAGGTGCACAGGATGGTGTCCAGAGGATTCATGGATTCTTGGCTGGCTTCTCAGTGGCTGGGGAACACACCAGTCAGGCAGGCCTCACCTCCCATGAAGGGAGAGTGAGTGAGTCTGGGAGGCTCTGCCCCAGGGGTTAGGGATGCCAGCCTCCAGGTGAGACCTGGGGATCCCCTGGGATTACAGCTCATCTCCAGACTATAGAGATCAGTTCCCCTGCAGAAAATGGATGCTTTAGAGGGTGGATTCTATAGCATTCTACCTTACTGAGGACCTGGTCCTCTCCAGGGGAGCCTCCTGGAGTGAGCAGGGGAGATGGAACAGGGTGAGGCCAACCCCCCCCTCCCTCTTTTGCTCTCTGAGGCTTGCCCAAGAAACTCATTAGAGGACAGGAGAACCCTGGAGGGCTCAACCTTGCTGGACTCACTCCTGAAGCCCCCAGACACTGACAGCCTGGTCACTCCCAGCCTCACTTCTGATGGCAAAGGGACCCAGAAAAGGCCCCCTTAGGAACCTTCCAATGGGTAGAAACAGGCTCATATGAGAACAGGCTGTTAGCCCTTCGGAGAAGTCTTACAGTGATGCTGCACGTTACAAAGTCCTTGTATTCACCGTATTAATTTTTTTACATATGTAGATGGCTACATGGTATTTTTATGATGGAGCAAATAGTATCTCCGCGGGGCAGGGTGAAGATGCAGAAAACGCATGGTGGAAGGAGGCTAAAGCCACTTCTCCCTGCGCGCCACATTTGTGAGCGGAAGAGAGCACAAAATTCCTGTCATAGTTCTGATTCCAAGTCCTTGTGGTGGACACAAGGACTTTGTACGGTATAGAGAGGCCCTTCACTCTCTCTCAGATGCAGGTTTTGTTTTGTCTTGTCTCATTTTCTTATAATAAATGTCTCTTGCATGCTACTTTTCAGTTAGGCTACAATTCCACACAAAATTAGGCTGTTTCAATCCTGTTGACTTCTGCACTGTTGATTTCAATATGAGTCAAACAGCCTGACTGTAGACCTGCAGCCTTAGCAGTATCTTTATGTTTAGGGGAGAGGAATCAGGTTTATAGCACATCAAATAAGTATTAGTCTGGAATATTGACAGTAGAAGCATCACTTTTCACTGTTTGAATGTGCTTCTCTTTGTTTTATACAGGAGGACTATTTGTATACGTATCAGGAGCAAATTTTTTGGGGGAGATACTGGAATGGTTTGGCTATGCAATAGCAACTTGGTGCCTACCAGCTTTTGCCTTTGCACTTTTTACAGTGTGCTTTGTTGGGCCACGAGCTTATCATCATCACAGGTAGGAAGCCTGTTACTATCTGTATCCTAGGCTGCTGCTATCCTAGGACATAAGAATTACGTGGGGCTGGCTCAAATAACATATTCATTTCTTGATGACTGTGGCATCAAGAGATGAACATGCATATGTGAATGGGCGATCATAGATCAAGTGGTCAAGACAGAACTGCTAAGTTTCCTCACATCATCTTGGACACAATGCAGTTTGAGGGCTACCACAGAGGCACATAACAGAGCCCAATCCTTTTTTTTTTTTTAAGCAGTTTTGGGAAAAGGAATTTAGAGCTGAGAAAAGGACTTGGTGTGAGGAGCCTGTGCTTGATCCTGTTCCTTTCACCATCCTTCCACTCCAAATCATCTTCCTCAGGTATTTCCTTCTTGAAGGATAACATTTTAATGTTTCCTGCAGAGCAAGAACACATATACATTTGTGGCTGCTTCTGTGCTCAAAATTCTACTGTCCCAAAGTAGCTTCAAGAAAGAAAAAAACCACCACCTCAGGGCTCAATTACATCCATTTGTGTGAAAGTGTAGGTCACCCTTCTGTAGAGCAAGATCAGATATCCAACAAGTCGCAATAAGTTATCAAGTGATATACAGACATGTTTGAATCAGTTGTCTAAAGATGTATCCAGTGTTTTTTGTTGGAACCATATTGAAGGAAAACTTCATCAATCTTAAAATAAGAAGTACAATTTCCTTTGGTATCATCCACAATTCTGAGTTCAACGTATGTTATAAAAACATAAGCATAAGAGCAAAAGAAGAGCCCTGCTGGATCAGACCACTGATCCATCTAGTCCAGCGATGTCTCACGCAGTGGCCAATCAGGTGTCCTGGAGGGCCAATAAAAAGGGCATAGAAGCCAAAACCTTCTCCTGATGCTGCCTCCCAGCACTGGAATTCAGAGTTTAGCGGTCTCTGTAGTATGACAATTCAGTAGTAAAGCAGCAAGTAAGCATGCACTGATGCAGAAAAAGCAGCTGTGAAGGGTTTCAATATGCCTGAAGTACTCTGGCTGGCATTGGCCCTCCAAAGTCTCAGCATAGATCTAGGGACTGAAGGTAGGACTTTATGAATGCAAAGCATACACTCTGCCACTAAGTTCTGTCCCAGCCTTTTCCCTGCTAGTTCCTTAAAATTATCTATAGAAATAAGAAAGCTCTATGTAAAGTACTTCTTTTACTTCTTTACACAGAAAGTGAAATTTGCTGCTGAAGGATGTAGTGATGATCACAGAAATAAACAGCTTTAAAAGGGGATTAGACAGATTCATGAAGGATAGGTCTATCAGTGGCTGCTATCCATGGTGACTGAAGGGAACCTCCATGCTCAGAGGCACTAAACCTCTGAATCCAAGAGCTAGGAGGCAACATCCGGGGAAGGTCTTGGTCTTTATGCCATGTTGTTGGTCCTCCAGAGGAACTGGTTGGACACTGTGTGAGACAGGATGCTGGACTCAATAGACCACTGGTCTGATCCAGCTGGGCTCTTCTTATGTTCTTCTGATAAACTAGTCCTATTGAAATTAAAAGCTGATAAATAGTTTGACTGATTTTTGTGCCTGGAAGTGCAACTTGTTCTAAACATATCAGAGGCTTTAATGTCTACCATCTCACACTCCCTAAATTAATTTGTTTCTATGGGCCTGCAGGCTCTGAAGGTGGGGTCATGGGTATATAGTTTCTAAATTCAGATGTCACATCACCCCAAGTTAGCTCAAACCATGGTTTGCAATATAACTTCAAATGATGGTTTCTAATTCTGTTGTGCTATGTTTTATTATGTTTTATTGATTCAGACATCAAACCAAACTATAGTTAAGCTTCCTGAACCATAGGCTTAGTTCAGACACCACACAAAACTATGTTTTAATTAAACTAATTATGATTCATGTGATTGTCTGAATGCAGGTTACTAACTATGATTAGTTCAGGACCATCAAACTGAGATACGAAACCATGGCCTAAAGTTTTTTTTAAGTACAGTCTTAGATTATGCTCTGCATGATGTCTAAATACAGATACACTGGCATAATCCTGGTTTAATCATGTTCGTTCTCCAACCCCATCATCACTGGCTACAGAGTAAAGGAAATGAAAACCTTTGGCGAGGCAAACTAGGATCTGAGTGACAAACTGCAAGCTAAATCCTGGTTTCACAAACTAACTGTAGTTAAAATAAACCATGGTTTTGCATTATGTCTGAAACAAACCATAGAAGTTTGGTTAGTTATCATAATTAATTTAGATCTAAAAATCAACAAGCTTTCTGTCACCTTACTGAAACTGACTTTGTTGGGCTATCAAAAGTAGTGTAACAGACACCCTGAGAAATAAAATTCAGCATTCTTTAAGCGCTACATGCAGGAATACTATACAACTTTAGCTATTTTAATTTTAATTTTGTCTTTCCTTTCTTTTAGGTACTATCTAAGAAAGTTCACAGGCTACCCAAGATCAAGAAAAGCCTTGATTCCTTTTATATTCTAAAGGACAATCATCTAGACTTCGGGAGTGGGGGAGGTTGTTGGTGTTGTATGTCTTTGTACGATCTAACTTTAAAGATAAGTGCTATTGTTAATGCTTGTGTGAGTTTCAAAGAGAAAGATCTTGGTATAATGTAGAGCAAGGGTCCCCAGCGTGGTGCCTATGGATACCCTGGTGCCCACTAACACCTTTCATGGCGCCCTTCAAGTGTTGTCAGAATGCAAGTGCACAGATGAAAAGGCCTCTTGTTAAACAGAGCTTCTGCCTGAAATATCGAAGAGGTACTGTTAGGGTTATATAGGCTGTGGTCAGATATGCAGTTGGATCCGTTGTTGCCCCGCCTCTAATTAATCCAGATTATTTTGTAACAGAGAATACTGATCAGACTCACCCCTTATTTTGTAACAGAGAATACTAATCAGACTCACCCCTTTTAGTACTCTTTAAAGCACTTTTATCCCATCCTTGATTGATCAGATGCAGCAACCAGGGATTGTTGCCGTTGGCCATTTTTTAAAAAAGTTTTATCCTTTGAGCATGCTCACAAGTGCTGATGAGCCTGCTGGGATATGTAGTTCATGGGGCTGTCAGCCATTTTTTAAAAAAGTTTGTTCTTTGAGCATGCGCACAAGCGCTGATGAGCCTGCTGGGATATGTAGTTCATGGGACTGTCGGCCATTTTTTTTGTCCTTTGAGCATGCGCACAAGCACTGATGAGCCTGCTGGGATATGTCGTTCACTGCTGTCCTCCCTCTCTAAACTTTTCAATTAACCCCTTCCCTAAAGCACAGAAAAAAGCTGAAGTACAGACACGTCTTTCGTTGAATGTTTTAAAAAAGAAAACAAAGTTTTGAGCAGCCCCTGTGGGAGAGGGAGAGAGGTGCAAAAATGCAGTTATGCGCACATTGATAACTAGTAAAAAATGGTGGCTGGAAAATGAGAGACCAGTCACACCTGCCTAACAGCTTGGGTGTGCAACAGAGTAATCAGACAACAGGAAAACTGTTTTGGAACCAGCTCAGACCAACAGGACTGGACTTTCACAGGTATCAAAGAAACACGCAGTAAAGGGGAGGGAGGAACGCGATGCAGACGACTGGGACACGACAGATAGATGTTGCTGTCTGATCATGCATTTTAAATCCGTAAGGGAACAGCAATGGATCAAACTGCATGTCTGTTCACAGCCATATAACCACACTTCCTGACATTTTGTGGTTGACTCCACCTTTTGGAGCAGCCATTTTATGATTGTGCCAATCGCCCTATGTCAAAATTCCAAAAGTGCTTGCATGCTCAAAAAGGTTGGGGACCACTGTGATGTAATGCTTTCATGAACTGATCATTGTTATGGTACTGGCGTAATTGTTTACTTACCACAAGTGGTAAAACATATGGGCACCTGGATAATTCTTCCCACACATATTTTTAAATGAAAAGCAGCCATGAGAGGATGAAATTGGGAATATGTGACCAGTGCTTAATCCTTTCCCCATAGGTCCTGTGTTTACTCAGAATTAGTGAAGCTTTCATAATGTTCCTCTGCCAAAGCTCTCTCTGATATTGGGGTTCCATGTTCCTTGAAATACTTATCAGAGTGAAATTGATAACATTGGAATCCAAGACTCCTCCAGAGTTCCATTTCAAGACTGCATGCGATAGAAAGAAGTAAAAATATTTTAAAAGACGTTTCCTGAAGCTGAAGATGTTGTTGTTGTTGTTATGTCACACAAAAGGACAATTCTGCCCTCTGACAACATAAAACAAAAAATAACTGAAATGCACCCCATGTGTGCCAGTTTTTTAAAGTTTATTTTACATTCCATAAGAGAGCTACTGAGTTCCTCTTCAATATATAGAATTAAAATAATAATAAGAGATTGGATTTATACCCCACCTTTCACTCGGAGTCTCAGAGCGGCTTACAATCTCCTTTCCCTTCCCTTCCCCACAACAGACACCCTGTGAAGTAGGTGGGGCTGAGAGAGCTCTTTCAAGAACTACTTGTGAGAGAACAGCTCTGAAAGAAGTTATGCCTGACCCAGGGTCACACCAGCAGCTGCATGTGAAGGACTGGGGGATCAAACCTGGTTCTCCCAGATTAGACTCCACGCTCTTAACCACTGCACCAAACTGGCTCTGCCAACTTTCCTGCAGACAGAAAAATGTGGGGTTCCTACATTTTCTCCCCTGACGGTTGCAAAGCAACTTAGGGGACAGAAGTAATTTTGAGCAGAAAGGAAGGGAGAACTGTCCTTCCCCTGCGCTGATCCTCCACTATCAATTTTAGCTTCCCAATGGCTGCTTTTCACTAAAAAAAAAAATAATAGGAGGAAGAATCGCAGAACTGCCTGTCATGTGTGTCTTGGCCCTGAAAGGGTGAGGAATAGCTGCTTATCTACAAGTTGTTTGGCAAAAAGTTTCTTCACATCTGCATGGCTTCCAGTTCCTGGTGCTGTTTTTTATTAGGAGGAATAACTGAGCTTTGGTGATTGCTGGTCAGTATCTTGTCATTACAAGAGTCATCATATTTACAAATGTTCTGTTAGGAACCAGCTGTCTTTTTAGTTGATTTTCTCCTCCTAAAGAGGCCATTCCACAAAAAAAGATGTGCTGTCCAGTGAGTTCTGGATGACTTAATCTGTGTTCTTTTCTCTCAAGTGCACTCTTGCTGAAAGTGAATATGGTTAAGAATTAGCAGCATGACAACGCAGAAATAATTTAATTGGACATGTGATTTTTGTCAAACATTGTTAATAAACTGAGAAAGAATTCAAATAAACAATGAATCTGTGACTGAACTGAGCTGCAGTACTTCTTGTTGCAGGTAGAATTTACTTCCATTAAGAGGTTGAAGGCAGTCACTTCTAACAGAGCACTGTTGTAGCATATGATGTGACATATAGGGTTATTCTGATATGTTTCTAGATACTTCTGCCTGTCTGGAATAGTGTGGGTCTACTGTGTTAATATATATATGTTTCTTAACAGTTGTGAAAAGCCAAATCACATGCTCAGTCAAACCATAAATAGTCTCCTCCAGTTACAAAGTTGGGGGGAGGAAAGTTCTGCAGGGTTACATTGTGCACAACTGCCGGTCCTTTGGTAAAAGTAGTTTAGATTCACAGGCCACACAGTCTAGACCAGTGTTCCCTCTAAGCTAAGTTAGTGTGAACAAGCTCACAGTTTTTTAGCCTCCATCTCACAGATTTTTTACTTAGCTCAGGAAGGATGGCTCCAGAACAAACTGATTTATGCAGTAGCCAAATCGCTTGCTCACAACTTTAATGCCAGTAGCTCACAAAGCAGAATTTTTGCTCACAGGACTCCACAGCTTAGAGGGAGCATTGGTCTAGACCCAGAAATATGGGCAGGTATCTCAAATGAGAAGCTCTGAATAGTGTCAGTCTCCTGTATGGAAGGCAGAAGAGAGCAAGGGGAACTATCAGTGTTGTGCTGAGAGTAATATCTGTTCCTGTTAGTGGCCACCTAGTTGCCAAGTAACAGATATGTTTGTTGAGCTCTCAGACTAGACTAGGCATGCTCTTGGGGAAAGTGAAGCTTAGACGGGATTCCTAAAACGGATGCCTGGTTGAGTCTTTGTATGCTGTGGCTCAAATACAGCAGAATTATATCCTTGTCTTCCTAATATGGATTGGAAACAATATAGTATACTAAGGAATGTTATACTTTTCTATGTCCACTAAAGTCAATGGGCTGAGAAGGTTACACCCTTCTAAGTCCACTGAACCGCATCCAAAGAGTACTTGTCAGTTGGTATTCCGTCTAACGCTGAGCCGACAGCGTCTTCTGGACAGTTTTCAATGCACAGCCAAAGTAGAATAAATCAGCATTTCATCTGATTGGAAGGAAATGTCCAGTCGGGTACCACAGGGCTTGGTTCTGGGCCTGGTACTTTTCAATATTTTTATGAATGATCTGGATGAGGGGGGAGGGACTACTCAGATTTGCAGATGAAATCAAATTGGGAGTAGTAGTGAACACAATGGAAAATAGAGATAAATTTCAACAAGCTCTGAACACATTGGAAAGTGGCAGATGTGAATAAGATGTAATTCAACAAGGCTAAGTGTAGAGTTCTACATCTGGGTAACAAAAATGAGAAGCACACATATTGGATGGGAGATACACTTCTGGGAAGCAGTGTGTAGGAACAAGATCTTGGGGTACAGGTGGACTGCAAGCTGAATATGAGCAGTCAGTGTGATGTAGTGGCAAAAAAGGCTAATGTGGTCTTGGGGTGTATCAACAGAGGCTTAGCATCCAACTTGCAAGATGTCATAGTCCCGCTATACACTGCATTGGTCAGGCTGCACCTGGAGTACTTTGTGCCATTCTGGAGGCCTCACTTCAAAAAGGATGTGGACAGAATGGATTGGGTGCAGAGGACAGTGATGAGGATGATCAGGGGCCTGGAGCTCTATGAGGAAAGACTGAGAGACTTGGGAATGTTCAGTTTGGAGGAGGTTGAGGGGAGACATGATTGCTCTCTTTAAGTATTTGAAAGGCTGTCACTTAGAAGAGGATGGAGCTATTCCTGTTGGCAGCAAAGTGTAGGACTCACAATAATGTTTTTAAATTACAGGCAGAAAGATACTGGCTGGATATTAGGGGGGAAAATCATTCAAGAGCAGTTCAGCAGTAGAATCGACTACCTAGGGAGGTGGTGAGCTTCCCCTCACTGGCAGTCTTCAAAGCAGCGGCTGAATGAACACTTGTCAGGGATGCTCTAGGCTAGGGGTGTCAAACATGTGGCCCGGGGGCCAGATCAGGCTCCTGAAGGGCTTCTACCAGGCCAGCAGTGGAACTGGCTATCTTCTGCTTCTTCTTCCAGTTCTGCTGCTGCTGCATCATCATAGGTTTGCAGCTTACTCAAGATTGCAACAGCACAGACATTTTGATGCAATCATTCAGAGGAACAGGTGTCAGTTATCAGACACTGTTAAATAAACAAAATATTGCAAGAGTGCTAATGTTTTAAGCATGTTTTTAAGTTTAAAAAAAACCCTTTGTGTCTGTGTCCTTTATAAAGTTTATGTCTCCACTACCTGGCATTACATTTTATGACACACATGGCCTGGCCCAACAAGGTCTCATTTATGTCAGATCCGGCCCTCATAACAAATGAGTTCAACACCCCTGCTCGAGGCTGATCCTACATTGAGCAGGGGGTTGGATTAGATGGCTATATGGATCTCTCCAACTCTATGATTCTAACCATACCCTAGGATAGCACAGTAAATCCAGCCTCTCAACCTCCCTCACAAATAGCTGGTCAGCATTCCTCAAAGTATGTAGCCCTGATTCATGAATTGAGCTTGGGAAATGGGTTTGCAACAGCCTGGATGATTCTGCAACAGTCTAGGAAAAAAAATCATTGCAGCCTGCTTCTTTTGTGTGTGTATGTCCCGGGCACAAATGGATCACGGTGACAGTAAGCTTGTGATCAAAGGTTTCACCACTTGCCCACAGCCTTTCACACAATTCATTTCATTCCTCAACATTTATCTGGACTTGCTAAATAAAGGAAAATAT